AGCCTGCCACCTGGAACACTCTTCAGCACTCCTCCAAATATCTATTTCCTCACTGTTTAGGTCTCAGCTTCCCTATTCCTCTTCTTCTTTCTGGTGGGAGTGCACCTGCCCCACAGTAGCACTGCACCCTTACCCAGTCCCGCACTACTCACCAGGGATTGGGATTGTCAGGGTCTGGTCCACATCCCTCCAGACTATAAGCATCCCTTGTCAAGGTACCTACCTAGAACCTCCTATCTACCTCCAGCACAGAGCCTGGCCTCAGCAGAAGCCTGGGTGGGTAGGGAAGGTGAGGGGATGTCGCAAGCCTGGCTGGAAAGCAGTAGGGGAAGGAAACATCCAGGGACTGCAGTGCAGTGAGTGGTAGTACTAGGCCACAAATATGCCCCACCCCAGCCACCTAAGATGGATCTTACTCCCTGTGACTATTTCACTTTGGGGTCCCCACTAGAAGGACCTTTACAAACAGGGTGAGTTTGGTAAGAGGTTTGACGTTTCCCAAAGTCACCTCACTGACGTCTATCTATAACTACCTGAGAGTTTCTTCTGTCGATTTTCACCTCTCATCACTCAGCCTCTTGTTTGCTTCTCTGTGAGCAGGCTTCTAAGACCTTCCCAGCCTAGCATTGATCATCCAGGTAGAAACCTACCCCTTTACTTCAGTCATCCCCTGCTGTTCTCAGTCCCCTCTGCATGCCAGAAAGCTCAGGTCTCTTCCTTCCCCCTCACCTGGATGCTCAGAGACCCAACTGCCATTCTCCCCTTACCCCTAGTGGTGGGGCTGACAGGGGAGGGGGCTCAGTGTGGACCCCATGAGAGCCCATAACTGGTCTGTGACTTTACTCTTCTTCACCACTTAGACATCACTCCAGGGAAGGAGACCCCTAAGTAAGTACAATTAAGTTTCCACTACTTTGAGAATCTGAAATAGGAAAAAAGAAACTCAGTGGTATTTCTTGTAGTCTGATGCATATGCCTCCCTTTACCCATTGTATTATTTGAACAAAGCCAAACAGGTATTTTAGAATGCTCTCCACGAAAGGCAGTTCCTGTTGGAACATGATGGTCAGTGCCCCGGGGGAGGCCTCTGGGAAAAGATCAATAGAACACTTGGTTGGATGGGGCATGGGTATAGGGAGGAAGGCATGATAGAGGTGAATAGTGCAAGCAAAAAATGAGAGGCAACTAGGAACTCCAGGAAAAACAAAAAACTCCCCCCAAAGAGAAATGTAATCTCAGCACATTGACTGACCTAGGAGCTAACAGTTCTTTCACAGTCAAAACAATGTAACACTGTTCATGAGGTTTCAACATTTAGAATCAATCTATAGAGAAGGCAAGGAAGACTTATTATGGTTATGGAACATGATATAAAGTTGACATTGTAAAAACAAAAGGATAGGTAACAGTTGTCAGGAGAAGGGAGGAGGCTGAAGGGAGGGACAGGGACCTTCAGAGTCTCATCTTACATGGGAAAGTGGGGTTTGAGGAATGTTGTCTATAGAGTTGAAGGAAGGAGAAATTAAGTGCTAGGATAAGCCTCGTTGTGACCAAGTACCCCGAGGTAAAAAAGCACAAGGATAGAGCAGGATATTAGGAATCAATAAGATCTTTGGTTGGACCAGAGGTTGCCCAAGGCCCCATCTTTGAAGTTCGCCTCAATTTCCCTTAGTGCATCCGTTGGCTGGCTGGCTTGGCCTTTTCCTCCCAGAAGCCTGGTTGTTCCATCTCAGGGCCACCAAGCCCTCTCTCCCTCCTTTGCACAACCTCCCCTAGTGGACCCATTTCCTGCCATTTGTCTCTTGGACTGATTCTACCTTCAAAGGTTGCTTGAGCACAGACTTCCTGAGCATTTGGGCCCTTTGATCCCCCCAGATCCAGGAACAGAGGCCCGCAGAGGCTGGGCAGGTCTGTGGTGGCCACAGGGGGACCAGTTAGCGGCAGGGGTGGCAGGCCATAAATCCCCAGGGAACAAAGGCAGCAGCCAGCCTATGGATGTTCAGGCCCCTCGTAGGCAATCAGCCCAGAAAGCTCGGAGCAGCTCCTTTTGGTCTGGAAATAAAGTGGGGGGGGGTGCCTTTGGGGTTATATGGTAAATAAAAACAGAATTAAGAGTCCCCAGTGGCATTCAGTTTGGTGAAACAGCCATATCTGGCCATTTAAGGCCAGTTTGCAGAGGCTTCTATACTCACTGGGAGAACTTTTTCTTTGTCTCCCCACCCCCACCCCGTCCCCCCATCACCACCAGGTCAGGAGGCAGGGGGTCAAGCCCTCCCTCCTACTCAGGGAGCTTCTGGGAGGCTGGGCACTGGATCCAGGATCCATTCATCTCTTTGCTCGGTTCCCCATGGTACTGGCATCAAAAGTGGGAGGAGGCTGGAAGCAGGACTCCCCTGTTTGGACCAGCCCCGCAAGGCTTCATCAATGTGGCAAGAACTGGGAGTGTGGTGTGGGGGATGGTGCGGCGCCACCTCTATGGTCCCTGATGGAGACATGACGCCTTTCTGGCTGGCGTCCTTCTGACCTCTGCCTTCAGCCCCATGACCAGCACGCTGCCAGCTAGTCCAGGAGGAACAGACAACCTTGGGCAGGGCACAAAGGGAACAGAGTAGGTGCCTGGGGCCACCTCAGAGTGGACAGGAGCTGGGAGCTGAGTCAGGCAGCCCCACCACTGCATCTGCAAGTGAAAAGCCCGTGGGAGCACTGGATCACAGGATTAGAGTTTACATTTTGTGACTTTCACATCCTAAGACTTCACTGGGCAGCTCTGGCAGCATGTGGTGAGGGGGCACGGAAGAGAGATGCCCACGCGCCCGTGTAGGGAGGGACTCACTGTGCAACGGAAGAGATGAGGGAGCCCTTGGTGACAGACGTGTCCCTCACACAGCATTTCTGGAGTTCTTTTTTCTTTTCTTTTTTTTTTTTAATCTTTTGGTCATCTTTGATCTCTCTTATTCTTGCTCTGTGCTACATTAAAAATACATACAATTAACAACAAAAATATACTTGCTTTATTTACCAATTTTCTAAAAAGCAAAAACAGTCATAAAAAGACACAAGCAGTAAACAAACATATTGCACTGGGTGAAGAAAGTTTGGTTTGTGCATGAACAAACCACTTGTCCGGCAAGGCTTACCAAGTCATTACACAGACTCTGAGAGCTTATTTACATGTCTTTTTAGGAATAGATTAAAAAGAAGGCTCAGTTTAAAATCGAGAAAAAAAAGGTTTTATAACCCCTGTGTAAGCACACATACTAAAGGAAACACGTCTCGATGCGTGGCACCGTGTAAACAATTTCACAAAATGCTCCTATTGTCAACTTCTGAGCACGGGTTAAAGCTATGCACTTAACAATCAATGAGCACAAATCATGTAGATAAATTAATGCTGATGGTAAACATTCATAACACTGGAAAACGTTCTGACAGTTGTATGTTCAGGTAACATACATGTGACCTTGACTAGCATCTAATCCCTTAATGATCGGACTTCAGAGGGAGGAGGCAGGTTCGGAGGCATCTATTCTCCACACACACAGACGCAGAGGTTATTACCTCATTTTGGGCATCTGAAGGTGCTGTTTCTTTACAAATAGTTAAAAAAAAAAAAAAAACCACCAGTATTCTTACATTTGAGCTTATGAGAAATCGGATTACTATCCAAACGTAAGACTGAAAACCAAGCCATTCCAAGGAGGCTCCATTTACTCCAGCAGCCGCTTCTCTCTCAGAGGACAGGGGGAGGCCCGCTTTCTTTTCGGCTTTGGCAAACTCGACCCGATTTTAAGTCAATTGTTTCACCTGTGGTAACTTTCCATTCACTCCAGGGACCAATATAGCTTTTCCCCAATCTTTAGGATATATGATGCAACATGAGGGTTTCTAAGGAGGTGGGCAGACTGGCCTCACTCTTCCCCAGGTGTCCCAGTGATGCTATAGGACCGTCACTGCAAGGACTGGAAACTGCCCCGAGTGAGGTCAGGCTCATGAAAAGAACGAGGGCTGGCGTCCCAGCCCAGGGTGCGGGGAGAGGTGAGCTCACGGCACCCAGGACAACACAGACGGGGTCACCAGCTCACAGTGTCAGAGCTCATGTCTGGGAGGCTCCAACTGAAGGACAAACACCAACGGGTCCCAGATGTGGCAGTCAGAGCCTGGTCTGCAAAGGGAAGTCACCACAGAGACAGTCAACACCGTATTTTATCTACATATGGGTCATGGTCTGAAAAGGATACAAGAATGATGTAGAAATATGCAGAAGGTTCTGGGTGTGTGCTAGTCTGATGGAGTTGGCCACACAAACCACGGGGCCTCTTCTGTCCAGAGTGAGCATCTCTCCTTTGTTCGCCCCAAACACAAGCTACATCAGATTGAAACATTTGCCACGGTAGTAGCTGAAGCAGAAGATGCTGGTTTGCTGAGTACGCTTCACGCCGATTCACGTGAAACACTTTGACAGAAAATTAGGAGAGGCTGTGATCTCCATTTGATGTTTCAAAAACTAGTTTGACTAAATGATGACTTAGATGAAGAGCAGCCCCCAGAGGACAGGATCTGATCTGACCCAAACACACCCAGGGCAGCTCCGGAAGGACCGGGGGCATCCCAGCTGTTTGCCACAGCCTGGAAGATGCCTCTGGACACCCCCGGGGGCCAGTGAGAAGCCTCCTCAAGTCCACGGACCTCCGAGAGCCCTAGGGAAACCTCCCTGCTGCGTGCACAGGGGATTCAGTCTTTCTCAAATTAAATAATCATGAAATCTGTCCCAAACTCTGTATTTACGTTTTAAATAGAAAAGTCTATTTCCTCCTAAACCCTTCCCACCCTCAACCATTTTAAATCATTCCTTCAGAAAATTATGGGTTTTTTTTCCTAAAACAAAAAAAAAGCAACGTAAGTTTATCTGTCCATTTCATTACAAACAGATGTGAAATTCTTTCATCGCTTCTGAGCACCATCTAATGTAGATCACGGGCTGTCGGGTGCAGGGAGGAGAGTTAGGTCCGTTCTTCAAATCTGTGACTCAAGGGGACTCCATTTTCCTCCTCTTTGGCGTCTGTGGCTTCACTGAGACCCAGAGTTGGAGCATCTTCCTCATACGGTACACAGATGTCGTCTTGTCCCTTATTCTCACAGTAAACACATTCCTTAAAGGGAAAAGTGTAAAGTCAGTAACAAAAATGACATCTTCATTACCAAAAAGTCGTTCTACCTGAGGGAGGTGCAGGTGACCTGGGGTCAGCCTTGTGAGGCTGCTGGAGAGCGGGGAGGGTGGGAAGACTCTGAGGGGCTGCTGGGACCTCGCCTGCTCTTGAGGGAGGTCAGTGCTCCTCCCCAGGGGCCCCACTTCCCCACGGCCAGGGGAGCATCCGGGCCCTTATCTGAGAGGCAGCTCTACATGGTGAGGGGATGGCAGAGCCAGTAGGCTCGGGGTCTGTCCCAGCTCCTCCCTTCTTGCCTGTGGGACCGCAGTCAAGGTCCAGTTTAACTGCCTTCTCCAACCTCAGTTTTCTAATCCAGAAAATGGAGCATCAAGAATGTACTGTCTCATTCCCTATCTGTTAAGCACCTGTAATGCTCCAGGCAGGTCCTAAGCGCTGGGATTCACCAGTGAACAAAGATGAAAATCCCTGCCCTGGTAGGGGAGGGGAGATCCTGGTAAGGGGAGAGGGACAATAATGTGCCCGGCGTATTCAAGATGAAAGCCTAGGTGGACGTGGGACACGGCACACGGACGAGGCCTGCAATCTTACTCTGGACCTTTAGAACAGGCCAGAGAAAGTTCCTGATGGAAGAAGGTTCTGTGACACCCTCCCCTCACAGGGTGGACCCTCACTCCCCTTCCCTGCGGCGTGGGCTGAACTTAGCGATCACCTCCCACACCAAGAGGAGGTGAAGATGTGCTGGAGGGCAGTATGGGACCCCCGAGGCTGGGTCCTAAGAGGCACTGTGGCTCCCTCCTGTCCTCTCTGTGGAGCAGGCTGCCATGCCACGAGGACACCAGGAGCCCTGCGGAGAGAGGCCCATGTGGGGCACGTGAGGGGGCCTCCTGGGAAGTGTGTCTTCCAGCCTTCAGATGATCACACACGCCCCGGCCAACATCTTGCCTTCACCTTCAGGACAGACCCTGAGCCAGAACTGCCCGACCAAGCTGCTCTTAAATTCCCAAAGAAACACCGGGAGATCATAAGTGTTCACTGCTTTAGGCCACTAAGGTTTGGGGTTTTTTGCTATGAGGCACCAGACAATTCTGTGGCATGTGACGAGAACCCCTGAAGGAAGCCAGGAGGAGCTGCACGACTGAGCGAAGGGCTTCCAAGCAGAGGGAAGGGCAGGTGCAAAGGCCGGACGGCAGGGGCCTGCCTGCTGCGTTGAGGGACAGGCGAGAGGCCCGCGTGGCTGCAGACAGCGAAGGAAGATAACAGCAGATGGGGAGGCGTGTCAGATTTTTATGGCTTTGCAGCACTTTACTCCGACTGGGCTGGGGCTTGGCTGGGGGGGACACAACTGTAGGGACAGGGGGAAGGACCTGCGGGGGGGGGGGCGCAAATACCCCCTGAAGGAGCACGGCAGCTTGGAGCAGCCGGTGGTGCTGGAGGGCATGGGGGTCTTGTCCCAAAGGCGGAGGACAGACACGGCAGTGCGTTCGGCGGCTGAAGGACACGGACACCCTGAAGCCAGCGGCTTCCAGGGTGTGGGGCTCAGGGTGGGTGGGGAGTGGGGCTGGGCACAGACACGTCCCGGCAAGTCCCGAGCGGAGAAGGCGCAGCTGCTGGCCCCCGAGGCCGCTGGGCGTGGTGTTGCCACCATTACGTCCACATGGACACGGAGGGTCCACGATAGGACAGCTGCTTCCTGTTCTGTTTGCTTTTTTGATTGGAAACAGAATTGAAACAAAGAAACAGCATTCAAATTTCCGTCTGCAATTGAGATGGAATATTCAGAAGACCTTTTTGGGAACAAGGTTGCAAAGTTCTTTAAAGTAGGCTCAATAGCATCCCCACATCGCTTGTCTTCATGACCAAACTGTTTTTAGCTGGAGAATTTTGAGGCCTACAGGACAGCGGCAAGGGCAATAAGCAGTGGTCCCAGCACAGCGCAAACAAGGGCGCCGAGCTCACCGCGAGGTCCAGGGCGGCGGGCAGGCGGCCGGCCTGCAGCCACGGGTGCGCCTCCTGCAGTTCCCGCCTCTGGCGCGCTGTGAAGTGGGGCTGGGAGCTCTGCAGCGCTCTCAGCTTCTCCCGGTCTTCCTTCAACACTGTTTCCAGAGCCCTTCACAGAACAGAAAGAGGTAAGCGTCACGGTGTCTTAAGGCGGTTCTGCAGATTTTAAAAAAATACACTCTTTTTCTAGCAACTCTTTCAGGATTAATTAATTTCAGGTGATTATGTTTAATGCAAGTTTCTTTTAAAATAAATTACCCTACTTAAGGCACCTTAATCTCCCTAGCCAATAAACTGTAGTTTTTCTATTAAAATGATAATCCAAGTCACGATCTTGGTTTCATTTTCAATCAGGGGAGCTGGGTACCCACGCTTGGTTCCGCACAGGCTGGTTAACTCCATCAAGGCAGTAGATGGAATAACCGTCCCTGGCCTCCTGCAAACACTGGGCTGGCTTGAAGCTGCTCTGGAGACGGAGCCCCAGGACAACCCCCCCAGGCCTGGGCCTCAGGGTTCATCCCTCCTTCTTTCCCCAGCTCCCCCACCGTGGGGGCTCTGAGCAGCAGGGACCGTTGCGGTCACTCGAACAGTGTGACACGGAGCCACAGCGGCGGAGGCACAGACCCAGTGGCCACAGAGCAGCTGGTGGCCAGGGCTGCTCACCTCCCTTGGCCTTTGGCTCCCGCATCTCTAGGACAGACACGCCCCATTTCGCCCACAGGGTGAACAGGCAACCGAGCCAAAGGGAAACACTGGCACAAATGCTTCATGAGCACGGAGCGCAGCGCCCCGGGGGGCTGGCGGGGAGCCCGTCCTCCTCACAGCCTGCAGCAGGTCACTCCGCAGGGCTCTGGGGCACACCGTCCACACAGCAGGGCTCTGCGGGACCACAGAGCTGTCCAGAGTGACCGCTTCTCCGTCCACGGTGCTCCACTCAATCTGAGATGAGGCTCTCGGAAGTCCCCCCGACTGGGTGGTCTTGCTGCTCGGGGAGCCCCACGTCCCTAGGAGAAGGTGGGTGGTTACCGGGAAGGCATCTGGTAGGTCATCATGACGCTGTCATCTGTGTCGGCCATCAGCAGCCAGACGGGGTCCTGGAGGACGTACTTGATGAAGTGCTCACTTTCCTCCATGTCCACCTTCGCTTTTGCTTTGTGGTTATTCTCCGAAGAGTCAACGCTTCCAAAATATTTGCTGGTATGACTTGTGTCACTGCTGCCTTTAAAAAACACAACACGTGGCAAGTGAAAACCTTTCACATGAAATTAAACCTTGTGTAACGGCAGTTTTAGGGAGCTGAACAGTTTTACTTGGTCACGAGTGCCTAGATTGGTGGATTTTCCCTTCTCTTTCCAGGTCTCAAATTATCTGGATAATTCCAGCGAGCACCATGGAGATGATTCTCTCCCGGGTCAGCCCTGAGAAGTCCAGCTGGGGCTGCATCTTAGAAATCCTGCTCCTTTGGGACGCCCAGGGGGGCTCCGTCAGTTAAGCGTCCGACTCTTGATTTTGGCTCAGGTCATGACCTCAGGGTCGTGGGATCGAGCCCCACATCAAGCTCTGCATGCTGGGCATGGAGCCTGCTTAAGATTCTCTCTCCCTCTCCCTCTGCCCCACCTCTGTCCCCCCAATAGAAATCATGCTCCCTGCTCCTTGACTAGGCCAGGCCACAGAGAAGCTGGTTTTGTAAGCGGGAGGCAGCTGGCCTGGCACACTCTGCCGTGAGCCTCCCGTGCGGAGGGAGCCCAGAGAACAGGTGAAGGCAGGGCTCTCAGTCGGCCGTTCCGGATCACACCCGAGCGATCCTCCCTGGTAAAGCATGCCGTCCACGCCCTAGGTTCACATGAGGGAGCTACCTCAGCAAGGGGAACACTACTGGCCCTCCTTGCAGGCCCAGAGAACCCAAGGGATGGTCCAAGATGGTCCCAAAGGGCCGGCGGAGTGGAGGCCCACGATGACAGCAATGTCCATAGCAAACGGGTGGAGGGAATGCGGACGGGCAGGGCGGGTGCAGGAGGAAGAAGCCCTCACCTGCCGGTCCCCACTGCGGCAGGCTCTGGGGAGCCACTTGGAGCACCAGCTGGATGCCCGTGGAGACCTGGTCTGCACTGGATCCTGGGCTCTGAGCACACACAGGCCTGTGGCCTGGGGTGCGGGGAAACCTGGGGATGCCCAGGGACATTAGGGGACCATCGTGACCAAACAAACGTGAAATCCAGCAACTGAAACATGCCCACGCTCACAGGATTCGGGTGCTCCCAGCGCCACCAACATACCTGTCCCACTTCTGGATGTATCGCAGCCCAGCGAGGCTGAGCCCAGGAAATCAGAGGTTGCCGAGGCTCCACTCCCAGACGGGGCTGACCCTGTGGCTGAGCACAGGTCCTCGTGCAGCAGGAGGTCAAGCAGGCCGCTGGACGTGGAGAGGGCATCGCTGTTCCGGGCGTCTGTGGGTTCCTCATGCTTTGGGAACAGGGAGAAGACAGCACAGTCAGGGCTCTGCATACAGAGTGGGGCTTGGCCCACAGTCAGGTCTCAGTGCACAGAGAGAGGCTCTGCGCACAGTCAGGGCTTGGTACACAGAGCGGGGCTCAGTGCACAGAGTGGGACTCAGTGCACAGAGAGAGGTTCTGCACACAGTCAGGGCTCAGTGCACAGAGAGAGGCTCTGCGCACAGTCAGGGCTCAGTGCACAGAGCGGGGCTCAGTGCACAGAGTGGGGCTTAGTGCACAGAGAGAGGCTCTGCACACAGTCAGGGCTCAGTGCAGAGAGAGAGGCTCTGCGCACAGTCGGGGCTCAGTGCACAGAGAGAGGTTCTGCGCACAGTCGGGGCTCAGTGCACAGAGAGAGGCTCTGCGTACAGTCAGGGCTCAGTGCACAGAGTGGGGCTCGGTGCACAGAGAGAGGTTCTGCACACAGTCAGGGCTCGGTGCACAGAGTGGGGCTCAGCGCATAGTCAGGGTTCTGCGTACAGAGAGGGGCTTGGTGCACAGAGAGAGGCTCAGCGCACAGGATGGGGCGCAGCGCACAGAATGGGGCACGGCGCACAGAGCGGGGCTGGGGGGAGCCGCACAGCGCTGTCCGCACAGGGCCGCTCAGGGACAGAGCCAAGTGTGGTCCTCCTTAGGTCACTGGCCCTCCCTTCAGGTGCCAACGAAGAAGGCCAAATGAACACATCCCGCGGTTACTGGGACTACAGCCAACACCCTTGCTAGTGGTGTGTGAGTGTCATCTAATAACCGTAATTTTGGGACAGTCACACCAAAGTCAGTGGTTCTTGGATCCCTGAAAAAAAAGCCTTCGTCCTGTTCCTGCACCCCAGCAGACAGGGAAGCAGGGAAGTGCGTCAGCAGCACCCCAGCGGCCGCTGCCCCCGGTGGGGTGGGGGTGGGGGGTCTGGCTTCCCAGTGGGGTCAGCCTTGGTCTGGCGGCATCCTGACCCTCCAACCCTCAGAACCAGAACTGTAGGCCCAGGACCCCAGACACAGGAGTCGGGGGGGCCCTGGGCACACGGTTCATCTGCGACCACAAGGTTGCGTTTCCCGTCCCGGGAGCAAGGGCAGGGAGCGCCAACACACCTCAGCGCCATCACAACACACAAGTGGTTCATTGGAAGCACAATCACAGTTTCCTGAACTGAACGAGGTGTCCCGTAGGACTTGGGAGGAGGGGCGTGGATGGCCTGGTTTCAGAGCTCTGTCCTCCCCTCCACCCAGGGTGCCCTCGCTGCCCTCCAAGGGGCCTGCGTTCTGGCATTTAAGCTGACTCTGCTTATCCTTGGAGCTTCAGGTAAAATGTTGGAGCTCACAATGAGTCACGAAGTTGCATGGGGGCATTTGGACCCCTGTATTCACCATCAGACAATCTAGCCAGCTTCCTTCATCTGGATCCCTAAACAATAAAAAGCTCCCACAGGCCTACTCTGATGGGGTTGCTGAACTGGAAGACATTGACGTCCAGCCCGTGTATTTACGTCGCGACTGGAACTGTCTGGCAGGAGCCGCAAGCGTCTAAGCACCCGCACGAGAGAGAAGAGCACGTTTGCCTGCTGCCTGCTTTAGAGAAGGAACGGCAGGAATGCTTACGATTGGTGAAGCCTTTGGCTGCCGGTCCCAGGAGGTGGCAGGTCTGCAGTCAGGCCCCGCACACGCCGTCCCTGAGGCCCCTGGTGCTGCTGCGGCCGCGGCGCTGCCCTCAGGGGCCTCCTCCAGCTGCAGCAGGTTGAGCTGCAGAGGTGAGCTGCCCCGGGACTGGAAGAGCGGAGGAGAGGCTCTGCCCAGGGGCCCAGAGGCGGCCGGCAGGGAGGCCGGGGTGGCTGCGCGGGACGCTGCCGGCCCACGCTCTGCCTGAGGCCATGTGCATGGCACTTTGGGGGATGAGGTCCGACCAGGGAGCTCGGGCTGTGAGGCAGGGATCACCTCGGACATAGAGTTAGCCTGGCCTGGGAAGAAGGCCTGGGGCAGGCTGGGGGTCACCGAAGGGAAGGAGTGGTTGGGTAACACCAACGCCATGACTGGGGCCAAGGGGACAGTGAACGGCGGGTGCTGGACGGCAAACTTGTGCTGGGCATCCACGGGCACGGCGGGCACTGCAAAGCTGGCCTGGGAGGCCAGGGGTGCCGCCACCACTGTCCCTGGTGTGGGCAGGATTCCTGGGGCTGGAAACACGGGCAGGGAGTAGGCAGGCACCGAGGCAGGGCAGGGCGTCCTGGGGCAGCTGGACTGGGATGTGTCCGACGGTGACCAGGCTGTGGCGTTCAGGCCCATCAGTGGGGGCCGGTGGGGCGCAGGCCCCCCAGACCCAGTGCTCTCGGAGGAATCTCGAGGCTTGGCCCGTTTGGACTTCAGTTTTCTGTTCTTCCCGGTTTTTTTCCAAGATGAATCTATTCCAGAGGTATTTCTTAGTCCCGGCATGGCTAAAATAATGGGAAAACACCGGAGTTAAGATATAAACACTTACGTGACTCCTGCTATGTCAGTTTTCAGACTCATAGGCTCCCGGAAACCCAAGGACACCTCCAAGTTCGGCAGTCCTGTGTTTCCAAATGTCAGCCTGTGGCCACTAGGACCACCATCAGGTGCTCCCTGGCCCTCGGTGAAGTGAGAACAGTCAGGGCAAAATGTTCATAAAACCAGAGTCAACCAATTTTAAGGATTGCCATTAACTGCAAAATCATGTGCCCTGTTTTCTTCTGGTGTTAAAATATCCTTTTTCTTACAAAATAACAGTGATGGAAAGTAGTATTTATAGGGTTTCATTCGTCCAAAAAGTAAAAAGGCTGGTAAGTCTCCGCTGTTCCCCAACACTGGTTTGTGAAATCTGAAGGGTTAGACCCCTGATCTCATCTAACCTTATTTTTGAATTTTACGGGCTTCGTCACTACTGTTCCTTAAAGCGAGATGTTTCCTGCTTTGCCTGTCAGATGAAGCCTGGACTCCAGCCTGAGTGGAGGTCAGAGGGCGGAAGGAGCACATGCTCTTGGAGCCACCTTCCTTCTCTCTGGTGACCAGTCCTTCTTGAGAAGGCTGGAAGTCTCCACAGGTAGCAGAAGGGACTCTGGGCTTGTCACCACACCTCCCCTGGGCCTGGGCCAGCATGAGCAGTACTTTGGGCTGAGGGGTCATGCCACACCTGGGATGGGTCCCAGGAACCTGTCTCTCCTCTCATGTCACACAGGGTAACTCGGGGCTTCTGCAGCAGGTATGTGGGGACACCTGTCAGCTGTGCCAAGGGGTGCTCCTTACCTTTGCTCCATGCTGAAGACAAATGGGCCAGTCCAAGGCAAAGTGCTAAGTGGGGAGAGGCCTTGTGATTCGGACTCTGGTATTCTTTCTATAGGAAACCTGTCCCCTGGTGGGACTAGTGGCTGAAGCACTGGGCTCCTGGGATAGCACGCCAGGGTCTAGCCAGGGCTGCTGTGGACAGCTGCAGAGTCTGTGCACTGCAAAATCTGCTGGGCCAAAGGGGCAAGAGGGAGCTGGAACTCTGCACTAAGCCAGGCCCACAGGGTGGGTCTGCCCGGGGTAGGAGATGACAACTTTTCCTAATTTCCAAAGAGATTCTCTGTGGCCTGGCGGGTCACCCTAAGTCTGGGGAAGAAGGAGAAAAGGAAAAGACTAGAAAAGACATAATCCTCGACAGCATCAGTCTCTTTCACTTCTTATGCATTCACTTTGTGGTGTACCTGCCTACAGATGCAGGAGAAGCTGGATCCTTGTGGGGCATGTGTCTCCTGGGCTCACTGGCTCTGACCCCTGTGTCTGGCCTGGGAAGCCCTGGGAAGAGGTAGCACCTCTGATCGGTCCCGCCCTGTCTATTGTTTTTCACCCCGTGCCCTTCGACCACCTGCGGGCTCTCAGCCTGTAACACCACCAGGGTCTGTCCTTCCGCCCTGGGGCCGCCTGGCAGGCGGGCACGTCTCCTGGGGAGAAGGGGGCCACTCCCTCCTACGGTGTCCTCAGGAGTCTGACGCCACATGCCCCGTCAGGACCATGGGCAGGTAGGGTCCCCTGCCCCTCGCGGTCACCCAGTGAGAAACGTCTGACGGGGCGGCACTGTGTTTGCGGGGGCCAGCCTGGGACTGTCGCTGCTCTTGATAGCACTGTTCCCCTGGGGACACGAGAGGACACCTGTTTCTGCTGAAACAGACTGCACCACTGCTAAGTTCCAGCCTGTATCTAACTGGGGACATTTCACACATCCACAGGAGCACTGGACTCCATTCCACCAAGAAAAACGTTTCTAAAATTGGGTTTTGCCACTTACTTCTCTCACTCAGCTGCCCCTTGGACTTTTCCTGTAAGTAATAACGGCACCGAGACTGGAAGACATTGAGTTTCCGCATCTCCTTGAACTTGAGCAGGAAGCTCTGCTCCTCCTTCTGGGTGTGGGCGGCCAGCACTTCCTTGGTGAGGCCCAGCGTCCTGAGGGGCTCCTTCTCCAGGCCCAGGATGCACGGCCGGCCGGCTGGAGACTCGGGCCTGCTCACGGCATCTTCCACCAGCTCTGGAACAGAAGATGGGCCCCGGGGTTTAAAACAACAGAAAACCCACACCACGTCTCTGAAGAAGGTAGCCCCTCGAACACACGTGAGATGCTTCATGCTGCCGCAGCTCGGGGCTGTAATCCGTGCGCATTCAGGTAGCCCTCTGAGAAAGTTAACAATCAAGGGCAAAACACAAGGACAGAAAGCCCCACGGCCTGGGCGGCTCCAGGATCAGTCTTTGAAGCAAACTGAAATGTGGGGTATCTGGGGTTTCAGCCCAACACTGAAGGTGCTGCTCCTGGGCTGTCCTTAGCTTTGAGAGCACGACACACTAAGCTGGCGCAGGGCCCCTGTCCTGGTTCAGGACCCGCTGACTCTCTTCCGTGTACTTTCCCCTCACCGTCCCTCTCTTCTCAGCAAAGAACAAATCTGGGTTTCAATCCACTCGTGGGTGTTGTGAAGAACAAGGTAACTCAGGGATGGCACCCTTGGCTGCCCTGCAGGTATGACCTGTCCTGGCTCTTGTCCTCAAACGGGAGGGAGTGGGGACCCTCGGCCCCAAGGAAGGCGGACGCCTAGGACCCCCGCTCAGTCGCCGGGAGGCCTGGTTCAGCACCACCAGGGCCCCTGCCCCATTTACGCCCAAGCAGACAACTGCCACCAGGTGGTGCCGGAGCGCGGCGGGAAAGGAGACGGGTGCCGCTGCGCCCCGCCCTGCTTCTGCGCCGGATTTCTAATATCCATCGTTAAAACCAGGCCGCTCCCGACATCGTCTGAGAACAGCGGGCATACCGAGCTCAGGCTGTGGCTTCTTGTCGCCCACGTGGACGATGGTGCTGCTGTAGCTGCACAGGCTGGTGAGGGACGCCACACTCTCCGCCTTGCTGGGCAGCACCAGTGGCGGCAGGGGCGCGCTAAGCTCCGCGTGGCCGTTCACCCTGGAGGGCAACGCTGTCTCTTTATAGGAGAAAACGGACACAAACACGGAAATGCAGTAAAAGCAAACTGCTTGGATAAGAAACACCACTGTCCGCACGGTGCGCCGATACCCAGGGGACCCGCACAGCCTGCACCCCCCGGGCGTGTGACGGCCCCAGGTGTTTATTCACAGGGTGAAGACGGAGAAGAGGGAGGTCTGAAATGGACACAAGCAGAGTCTCCCAGCCTGCGTCCTCCAAGAGGAGCTGGGCGGCTACACAGCTGCAGGTACCCGGGGTCAGCCGCCTCTGACTGGGGCCCGGAGCCCTTCTGCAGGCCTGTGGACAGAGGCCACGCAGGCAGCCGGGAGCCCACCCTCTGCTGGGAGCTGGCCAGTGGCTGGCGCTCTCTCCCCAAGGGCTATGGCAGGGACTGTCCACCACAGTGTTACTGCCCAACACTAGTGCTCTGTCAACAATGGGATACCCGGTTTCTGAGCCTGCTAATGACCACCGGCAACACTCACAACGCTTGAGGGGCCCAAGATGTAAGCTGACTCGGGGGGTGTACTAACATTCAGAGACCCATGCTCCTCCGAGAGACCGAGAGACCGTGGAGACAAGACTGCCCAAGAATGACAAGAGAGATGTCCCCAGGCCTCTAGCAACCCCAACAGGATCCTAGTCTCAAAGTCCCAAATCCCCTTTACCTCTAGCTTGTAAGAAGATTGCTAACTTTTGAGCTACTTTGGTCATTTAAAAACAGCCTACACGCACATACTGTGTCCTTGAAGCTGCTCAGACTTCCTATGGGAGGAAGCAGGGGACTCCGGGCCTTTGATGACACCTGACCCCACAGCGGAGGACCCGAGTTATCACACGCACGCCACACAGCTCAAAGCAACAAGACACCTGCGGAATGCAGCCCGGGGCTGGCCACTGCCTGTCGCTTATCGCTGGCCTTCTGCATCGCCACGCTCACCGGGAACTCACACTTCCTCTTGAGGGTGACCGCCTCACTGCAACTCTCCAGGTACCTGCGCGGAGGGTCGGAGAGGGCTTCATGGAACATGGGGGCCCCGAGAGGGCGTGAACGAGCCAGGCGGGGGCCGGAAGTGCCCGCACCTGATGACGCTGTCCAGGCAGCTGATCTGCTGGTAGGACCCAGCGGGCGGGTTCCTGCAGCCCAGCTCCTCGGGAGAGCCGCCCGTGGGCAGCCTGGTGCCCGAGCTGTCCTGTTCCACGGGGACAGCTTTCATCTGAGCAGAGGAACTACTTGGCATTTCTGAAAGAAGGACAAAATTGTTCTTTCAGTTAATACCTGTTTCCCCCAAAGAGGACTCTCTATTCAGAAAGCATTTTAGTTCTACCTAAACGTCAGGCTTTGATTCTTAGACACAGAAACCCAGCGCCAGCTGGCTCTTCAGGCAGCCCTGCTGGGGCAAGCGCCCCTGTGCTGTCCCCAGAGGGAAGCCAGAGGGCGCTGTCACCAGGGCGGTGGCCTGCTTCCCCCGGGGCTGTCCCCAGGGTCAGGGACTCAGCACCAGAAAAGGCCAGTTCTTATTGAACTCCTGAAACGTTCGGGGCCAGTAAGATGGCAGATGCTTTATGGTTGATGGATATTCCGTGTCTCGGGGAAGAGAGGACCACTGGAAATGTGCACCGGTGGTACTAACAATTATGTGTCTCCAGGACAGCCTGCTGTGGGCGCTTCTCTGCCTGCCCTCTGCACACGCACTGCGTGCTATTCCCCGAGGGGCCCTCAGGGGCAGAGCTGTGTCCTGTTCCCCAGTGTGTCCCCAAAACCCACACAGACTGCAGCATGCAGCATGGCCACTGGGGGTAAAGTGCACCCCCACATGTCCCGAAGGCCAAAATTCCTGGTGAAGAAGAGGCTTGGGGCAGCCGCCGGAGGCTTCCCAGAGGAGGTAAGCCCTGAGCGCAAGGGGTGAGCCAGAGCCCACCAGGGGGAGAGGTCGCAGTGAGCCCAGGCACGAGGGTGGCAAGTCACAATGTTGTGAAGCAGGCTCAGGTGGTGGGGGGTTGCGGACCGCCCCCTGTGCCTTTGGCTCCCCGGGAGAGGGGGGCCCATGAGCAAAGCTGGTGCTATCCACCTGGGACACTTCATTCACGTATATGAACGTTGTGGGTTGGCTGGGCAGCCCCCCGAGGTAAGCGTGTGCACGTGCTCACAAGAGTGTAAGCACCAACCCTCCGGCCACTACGCAGAGCAAGAACAGGGGCCGTGGGGGCAGACAGGCATGTCTTGGCCACACCTCAACAGGTGTAGAGGGCGCCAGGTGCGCGCCCGGTCAGCGAGACTGACGGACTGAAGGCCCATGCTGCCACACATTGTCACAGAGCCGGGCTGCCGAACAAGGGAGGGGATGCAGCGCGCTTCAAAGGTCAATTCCCTGCCATCTGGAGTGGAAGTCAAACCGGGTCCCTCTCGCCATCTTGCCACACTAATGTTTTCTTACGGAAACGGAGAGAAAGTTTTTACCTGCTGCAGATTTTTCCTTTTGTTCTCCAGATTCCCCAGGATGACTTTTGTTTTTGACATTGCCACCATTTTTACAAATTTCCTTGAGGAGAAACAAAGGGACACGTTATTCCTTCTAGGAGGCCCTGCAGTGGTTCAGCCTGTCCCCGCAGTGAGGACAGCGGAGGGCCGCAGAAATCCCCGCGACACAGAAGCAAGCTCTGAAGGAGAAATCGGAGCGAGGCAGGGCTGGAGAAAATGCGCTTGGCCATGTCAAGAACGCAGAGCGACGTGGAAGGTTACGATTTTGTGACGTTTTCACTCTGGCTTGACTGCCTGCTTTACGTCATCTTCACCCAAACTGTAGCCACAGCTTTTGGCTGCTCCCCCCTTGGAGAGTAGAGGGTAAGGCCCGAGTGAGCAGGGTTCCGAGAGCGGGCGGCCGGGGCTCTACGGGCTCTGTGGCTCCCAGGCGTCCCCGTGTCCCCGGGACAGGGACAGACAGGGGCAGAAGGTGACTTACGGTCCTCCTCCGGCAGGAGTCCTCATGACCGTTGCTGTCACTGGAGGAGGTCTGGCTCATGAGGTGCTCGTGGGACCCGTTGCTGCCCAGGCTCCCGTAGCCACTGGAGCCACTGTGGGGGACGGGCTGGGAGACAGCAGACAGGGAAGCGTTGGATGCGGCTGGTGCTGCGGGGTTCGTGCAACACGCCCATCTCACAGAGAGGCTGCCCCCTGCCTGGCAAGGACAAGGTGGGGCTGGGCTGGCACCAGGGTCAGGCTGCGGGGCACGCCCTGGTCCCAGTCACGGGAGACCCCCTGCGAGAGGATTCATTCAACGCTCTCCCTCAGCTCACACGGCGTGGCCAGTCCGGGGTCTATCCAGGGGTTTTAGAAACACAAAAGGCGCACTGTGGTTTTGCTGCAGTCTGAGGAGGAGGAGCAGAGCTGCCCAGCCGGGGGGACTGGTGCTCACGCTAAGTCTGCTTGAGTGCTGCATCCCCAGGAACAGGAAGAAAGTATCCTCACGCCCCCCAGGTCCTGGCACGGTGACCCCCTCGCACCCAGCGCACCTGTGAGGGCCATGAGTGGGCTGGAAGCAGGGCCTCGGGGGTGGACTCGGGGGCTGGGTGTGGCGTTCAGTCACTTGCTCAGGGCTGCAATTCAGACACAGGCACCCCAAATATGCAAGGGGGGCACTGCCCCCAACTGTGCAAGCCGCAGGTGTGCCCGACTGTCCGGGCCCAGGCCATGGGCCCCAGGGGTGCGGAGCTGGATGGAGTGAAATGGCCCCCCCGGCTCTCTGGGCAGCTCCGGGCCACTTACATGGGGGGGGGCAGGGGGCGTGTAGACAGTGTATACCCACCTGTAGCAGCAGCCGGTGGATCTGCTCCGTGAGCCCCTGAATGCTGGGGTGCAGGTCCTTCTCCTCCACAGGCGACTGGGCCGAGAACACGTCCTCATTCAAAGGGCCCCTGCGTGGTTTTAACTGGTCTGTTAGTTGGGCCCCATGCTGCACAGCCTGGCCAGGCTCGCCTCCTCCCTGCAGACCCCTGGGCTGCTACCTGCCCACTCACTACCTCCTCCCTTCCCCCCACTGCTCTGCTGCATGAGGTCCCTCCCACCTGGGGGTACCGGTATGCGGCATGAGCTGGCTTGGGTCCTGGTCACCCTGTCTTGCCCCATGCCACCTGCTGGTGGGGAAGCAAGGGTCCCCGAGCTGTGCCGGGCCCTGGGAGCACTCACACCCTGACTCTGTGTCTGCCGATGATGAAGGAGATCTTTCTGCTCCACGGGTTGATGAAGCTGGACCAGCTGGTGTCCAGAGTGATGTACTCGCCATTCCGTGCACGGAACCGAATAGGAGAATAGTTGAAAGGCTGCCCGCCGGACTGCACAACTGCGAGAGTGGGAGCCACGTGGGCATGAGCACAAGTGGCCGGTGCTCTTGGCAAGAGGAGAGCCGAGGTGCACTCTATTCTGGAATCAGCTCAGAACTTTCAGAGATGCCAACCTCCTCAACACTATGGCTTTCAACCCCCTGCTTTGCTTTAAATTGCAACAGTGGGCTGTTTCCAGAAGTGCCACCACACATTTCAGGACACACATCCCTGTTAGCCTTGACTGGTCTTCTCCAGGGGATGCTCAGGGTCCCCTGTGTCTGCGAGGCCTGGGCTTGGTGGGGACATGGGTCATCCACTCCCCTGGCCTGGTCAGCACCTCTGCTGCCACAGCTGAACCCCTCCCCACCTGCCAGGGAAGCCAACAGTAAAAGCAGGGTGCCAGAGATTCAGGTCCCACAAAGGGACCCACAGGAGATGACTACTCTTGACTGATGGAGCTAGGGGTCAGGCACAGAGCCAGGGCACCCATCCCCACAAGCTGGTAACCGATTTGACCTGTCTACACTGGGTGCTGACCTCAGTATTTACCATGAAAAGGGGACCTACTCTTTTTGTGGATGGTGAGCATCAAGGGCCTGTCACTGGGGTGGAGCTGCACGAGCATGGGGGTCTCGATCAGGTCCTGAGGTAGGTAGCCCAGGAGGGGGACTGCCCTGCAAGGCAAGCACACACACAGGTGCTCAGCTGTAGCTCCTGCCCAGCCTCAGCCCCATGGCTGCCCTTCAGGACACATTCCAGAATACTGCCTCCTCCAGGCTGGGCAGCAGACCATCTCCAAGAACCCTCTTGCTCATTGGGAAAAAGAGACAGACTCCAAATTCCCCAAAGATCAAGGTTTGGGAATTAGGCTAACAGAACAGTCTTTCAATGAATTAGCAAACGAAAGTCCCCCCATGGGTCTGTGATAGAAAACTAGGCCCTATCAGGCCCGGCCCAGTACAGGCTTGGGGCTTAGCTCCTGAAGGAGTAAGTCATGATCATGTTTTTGCTGCTCCTCTTTTCAGATCTTTTCTTTCTTCGTGTCACTTGTAAGTTCGGCCAGATGTGGCTGGCATGGTTTTTTTGTTTTTTTGTTTTTTTTAAGTGTTGCCTGGATTCTGGAAAACTCTGTGTGCCTCCTTTCTAGTTGCAGAGGGTTCCCTTCTCCTATTACTTTGGCCACTGGGTCTAGTCCCGTGGGGTCAACGCAGGCTGGGTGCCTTTGCTCTTCTCCTGCAGCTGCTGGGAGAAGGTTTGGGGGTGAACTTTTGGGTGCCCCTTCTGCCTCTGTGTCAGGCGTGCTCTGCCCACTCAGCCACTGTTCCTCCTCTGAGCTGCGTCTCAGCCTCCCCCTGGTGGCCAGTCTTCCTGCATCTGAACTGATGCTCCCTCAAACTCTTCTGCTCAAGTGCAAGGACGTTCTCCAAGTCTCTAGAGCAAAGCTTGCTCGTTCCCAGTAGAATGGAACTTTCTTGTGGGCCCAGTGTTATTATTTGATTTTTTCTTCCTGGTCCAAAATACACTCTCTCCAGGCCTGTGTTTTCCTTTGACAGGATGTACGAAATGTTCCGGGCGCCCTTTCAGGTCCAGGCTTGGCAAGGGTAGGGGGAAGGAGGGGGAAGAGGGAGAGAGGAAGGGAAGGTGCAGAGGGGAGGGGAGGAGGTGGGGAGGAAGGAGTCCCGGCCACCTGCCCCGCTGTCCTGCGCTCCATGAGCTGGGCCACCTACAGGGCTTCACTAAGGAAGGCTGTGCAGACCGTGGGCCCCACACCACGTGTGCCGGCTCACTAACTCCTGAACATGAGTGACGTCTGTGGTGGCTTGCAGGCAGGCGTTCTCAGACTTGTGGAGGAATAAAAAATTATCCTGGGTTTGCTTTAAGAATGCAGCTCCCCTGGGGCGCCTGGGTGGCTCAGTCCTTAAGCATCTGCCTTCAGCTCAGGTCATGGTCCCAGGGTCCTGGGATGAAGCCCCGCGTCAGGCTCCCTGCTCCGCAGGGAGCCTGCTTCTCCCTCTCCCACTCCCCCCTGCTTGTGTTCCCTCTCTCGCTGTGTCTGTCTCTGTCAAATAAATAAATAAAATCTTAAAAAAAAAAAGGATGCAGCTCCCCGGGCCCACCCTCCAAGACCCTGCTGGAGAGGGCTGGGTGGGGCCCAGGAACCTGCACCTTGAAACCCCATCTCTGGCGGTTCTGCCACAGGTGGTGAGCAGAACACCCCTGAGCGGCCGGAGCAGGAGGCTGATGCTTCCCTGGCTGCCTGGGAGCAGCTCTTTCCCAGGAAGCTCCGTGGCCTGTGTCCAGGGTGGGTACCTGGTGGCCCCGGGCCAGGTGTAGGCAGTGGGGTGGACTGGATCCTCGATAGTATCTGTGGAGGCCACCCTGGCCCATCTGAGAAAGGCCAGAGTGCTAGTACGTCTAGGTCCACTTCCAGTGGGTCTTCTGAGGAAAGCTCTTCCCCACCCCTGCCCACAGCCAGCAGCATTTCCTGTTGCATGCAGGGGGAGCTGGGGGAAGGTGCTCCACGGGACTTGGCCCAAAGCCGGCCAACCCAGAATGCTCTCAGGACGGCAGTGCTCCCAACTCCAGCAAGCACCATCTGCACCAGCTAGAGCACCTTGGGCAGGAGACTGAGCGACGCTCTGGGCAGGAACGAGGTGACCCCCGCCCCCAGCCCTGGGAGCAGTCTGTGGTACACAGGCTGGCAGACACATCTCTGCTGGGATCCTGCCAATGGCGTCTCCAGCTTCAGTCCTAACTCTGTCCCAAGCACACTGTCCCTGGCTGTACCATCCTTTACTCATGTGCGATTTTGAAATGGGTTTCAATAGGATAATACAGACAGACTCAATGAGAACAATTACCAGCTCCCCAGAATGCCCCATTTACACAATATTCACATCTCAGGAGATTTTTAGTGCAATTCCAGAATTATTTCATTGCCTACAGTTCAACATTGTTGTGGATTATCACCTAAGTAAAACCAACGCACAGGCTTCACTTTAGCTGCGTAGCTTCAATGTCAAAATCACAAACATTCATTGAGCTTTACTTAATGGCCACCAAGTAACCACTAAGATCATGATGAAACGCTAAGCAGCGTGTGACCGAGTCTGCTGAAACGAAGGTTACGGTACTGACTCCAAGACAAGCCCCATGCAAGAGTGGGGGCCGGCGGACGGGCCAGCGCCACAGCATGCTTACCGTTCGTCCACGTCCTGGAACAGACAATTTGGTGTATGTGTGGTCGTAAAAATTCTCTTTTCAGGAGGAATTCTAGGGGCTGAAAGAATAGAATTTTATACAAGTTTCTGATTCTAAGAAATGCACACTTAGCACAGTTCTATTACAGCTACTAGAAAATACCACGTAGATTCAGACGGATGGGCAGTGAAGGAAGAAAATTAACAAGTGGACCCTTTACAACAGAGCCCACTGCACGGGAAGCAGACCCTACGCTAGATGACCGCCAGCCAGCCTTCTCAACTTCCTTCTGGGTGGGTTTAGTCTAGAAAGCTGAGAATTGCCACATTCACAGAACTGTGTGGTGATGCCTAAGCTTCTCTCAGCAAAATCATGCTGGAAGGCCAACTTCATGATTTTTTAAGATCCAACGAGAGTGAGCTGAACAAATTGTTTTTAAAAAATGAGTTAAGTATTTAGATTCAAAATTCTCAGCAAATGTCATTGCACTGGGACTTCACAGTTTCTAGGGTGGGCAAAGGTGGTAGAGTAATTTGCATTAAGGAAATCATCTATCCGGAATTTCCCTCAACCACCAAATTCATGGACAAAACACTCAAAATTCCAAAGCTTCGTCCTTGAAGGAGACTCAGATCATACTGGGGAGTAACTTGTTGAAATCTAAGTAACCCCTCTAAATCTTTATTGAATATTTGGAAGAGAATATCCTATATGAACGAACTCACCAAACATTTCCATCAGTTTTAAGAAATGATCTCGTTAACCACTGAGACAAGGTCAGGAATACAATGAAACATGGACAGAACTGGGTCCCTGTGGTTCAGTAGTTACAGACAGTGCCTGCCCTCTGAGAATTCTGAAGCCAGCGTGGCTGAGTTGCCAGGATGAGGAAGGTTCCACGCCAGGTACAGTGGCCGGTACCGCGTGAGGACCATGTCACAATGCCATTCAGTGGGAGGGGTCGCCAGAAGGACAGAATCAGGGTGGCTGAGCGCCTTGGGGCTCTTTGGGCTTCAGGGAAAGCCCAGATTTGGCGGGTTTTTTGGGAGGGGGTGGCCTGAGAAGCTGGTAGGACCGGGGACGGACAAGTGGTGGAATAAACCTGCTGGGATGACTGGCTTTCCACACATAGAGGAGGGGAGGGGCGAGCAGGAGCAAAGACTGGGAGTCGGGCGGCCAGCCTGCCTGCAGAAGCCAGCGCGGGTGGAGAGGATGGGGAAAGCAGTGGAAGGTCGATGGGCCGAGGTGGGGAGGGAGGGGCATGGTTTGGGTTCTGAGCAGGTGGGGGTGCCCCTGCACTCTTCCAGGCATGGGGGTGCATGGGGGTGGGAGGGGCTTGGGGACCTGGTGGTGAGGGCCATTCTCACCAACAGATGGGAGGCAGTGGCTGGGGAAGGGGGCAGGGCACCCAGGTCATGGCAATGGGCTGGTCACGGGTGGGAGATGCCGGCACCCGGACCCGGTAACAGACGCGAGGAGGTGGTTTGGCAGCGGCTGTGGGGAGGGCCAGGTGACAGAGGTGGGTGTGCGTCTAGAGGGAGAAGGAGACTCTGCCCAAGGCTGGGGGTTGAGGCCAGGGCTGGCAGCCTTACTGACATTAGGTGTGAGCCAGGGGCGTCACCAAGGGACCAGATGGAGCCTGTGCCCACCTGGGCGGGCAGTTACCTTCGTAGCCCGAGTGCACTCTCTCGGCCAGCAGCACGCAGCATAGCTGGCCCCCGGCTCCCTGCGGGTCCCGCACCTTGACCAGGTAAGGCGTCATGCGGAACGGGTGGTAGCGAATCTCATTCTCGTGGTTCTTCCCAACACTGCGGAGGAGGGCCCGGTCAGAGGTTTGCAATTATGACAGAAGGAACTGTCCTTTTTTGCTAGTCACCTCTCCCTCAGTAGTGGCTGTTCCCAAAGCAGTACAGAGGCCTGCGACACAAAGCCAGGCTCCTCGCTCGGGGACCCGGACCAAGCTGGGTGTGCTGGCCTGGGCCTGCGATCTGGGCTTCCGCCCTGGTCACTCAGATCGCCATGGCATTCAGGGCAGACCAAAGAGTGAGCAGCCTTGGGCAGTGGGAGGTCTTCCAGGAGCCCTTCTCTAGAGCACCTCAATCGGGAAAAGGACATTGCTTCACCGGTGAGGCCCCAGCTTCTGAGAGCACCAGGACCTGGCCAGGGGTCACTCCTGACCCTGCAGCTGGACGCTCAGTCACCTTGTTTCGGGCAAAAAGCCTGCTGCCGGGGAAGCTGTGGGCTCTCCCTGGGAAAATGCACACTTGAACAAAGCTGCATGTGCCTTTTGGGTCCTCCCTGGGGGACATGCCTTCCCAGGGAGTGGCCCTCGGGCAGCTTCCCGGGTGACAGACACCAAGTCTAGGCTCCCCAGGCTCTTCTTGAGGAGCAGTGAAATCACCCCACTGCTGACCAGGCTGTGTCTTAAGGCCTTGTGCACATTTTAAATCAGCTTATGGAAATGGTGTTTTCACACAGACTTTTTAGGAATATGCCCACTGCGTGGTAGGGGGTGCTCCTGCAGAGCCTCTACCCTGAAGAGCAGAGGTGCAGAGAGGGGAACAGGGGGTCACAGCCCAGAAGGAACTGGTCGGGGGGCCACTCCTACATCTCCTCACGCTCACAAGAGGTGCTCAGGAGAAAATGTCTGTGCCTGTCCCAAGCTTACCTCACGCGGCAGAAGAAAGATTTCTCCTCCATGCATTCTTGAGTAAACGAATCTAAGAGAGAGAGCCCAAAGTCAGCCATCCAAGTGCACAACACAGTACAGAGCGCACTGTATTTCCGCCAAGCTACAGAGAAGCAGCAGAATCCAGAGTCAGGGCACGAATGCATATTTATGCAAACACAAAGCAAAGCCCTTAGAAATCATTTATTACAGTTCCGACTACAATCAAATCTATTTCATGAATGCAGCACGTACCAAATTACGGAATGCTAAAAGCTTAGCGCCAGAAGTTTACCAGTTTTGAAATGGTTCACAGGCCGCCACAAACACACCAACTAATTAACTATTTAACTCTGGGAGAAGTACTGATGGGCAGAATTTTTGCATGTAAAGCCCTAAACATTTCAACCTATGTATTTTGGGGGATATTCAGTTCTAATAGAAGCAGCTCAGGTAATTTCAAAGCTTACGTCAATCTTTTTGCTAAAATATTAACCTACTTAGAAATCTGAAACACCTAGCAAAAGCACGATGTCACTCGGGAGGCATCATCAGAGATGAGGAAATGGTGTTTTCACAATATAGGATTTTTTTAAAAAGAAATCTTAGACGTTGATCTTTCACATAAAGTTTCCTCTATTCCAAAGAAGGAAGAGAAGTAGGAAATCACTAGTTAGGGAAAATGGTATAAAATTGCCGGCCTGGAAAGGCCTTGAAGAAGTCACCTGGTCCTTCTTTTTCATTCAGACAAAAATTCAGTGGTAACCATCCCAGGCAGACGGTGCTGGCCTGTCCGTGCTGTAAACCCACGTGCGGAGTGATGTCCCTTCCACGCAGTGACCTACGGGTTCTCGTGACATGCACTGCACGCTTTAGTGACCTGACGTGGACAGTCCTCGGCTAGGAATTCCGGGAGAAGGCGGGCGGCTCTACATCCAAAACCAAAAGCGAGCATCTCTTTTTGTGAGTCAGCCCTAAAGCAAACGCCCAGGCTGTTTGCTATCAGGAAGCTACAGTCAGGGAACGGTGGCGGTGGCGGTGGCGGTGGCTGAGTGGTGGCCCAGCCGGGTCACCCTCCTGAGCAGAAGGATGTGGGGAGCACGCGGCGGAGAGGGACCCACGATCCAGGCGGCGGTGGGAGCGGGGGTGAGGAGCATCTGATATGAGCCAAGATGCGGACCCCTGAGCCAAGGGCAAAACAGGGACTAGTTCTGGGTGATGTGGCCTCATGACTGAGGTCACGCCTGTCTGGGGAGACCCCCAGGCCCACTGTTTCCCGTCACCTCTCCTGGCTGCTGAGCGTTTCTGCCCGCTTGTTCACCTTCAGCTCCGAGTGACCAGAGCCCAGGGAGGGGCAGGCAGACAGACGCTGCCGGACTCACGCGTCAAGAGCGGGCTTCTGCTGGCCTCCCTGCTCACTGAGAGCGTGGGGCGGGGGGGGGCTGCAGGGAAGGCCTGAGCTGGTCCGGCACCTTCTGCCAGGATCCTGTGCCACACTTCCGCTGAGACTCATCTGATCAACCCTCCCTCCTGCACCCACTTATGGGCAAGGCCTGCCCTGGCCACGGTAAGAGCTTCCAGCCTTCCGGACCCCAAGTCTCCCGGTCATGTGGGAGGAGGGGACAAGGACACGCTGCGGAGAACTGCAAGAGGCCGGCTGCTGCAGCAGGGCGGGCCGGGCCGGGCCCAGGAGCTGGACGCCAGGCGGAGCTCGCCGTGGACACACCGCACGCCCTGCGGCCCCGAAGCAGCGGCCGCCGTGCAGACAGGAACCTGACGCGCCTGGAAAGCTGCTGGTTTGAGCACAGGCACAGCAGGACGTCGCCGTCCACCTGCACCAAGCTGCGCCTGGCCAGGGGGAGGGGCGCTCTCCCGGTCACCCCGACGTCAGCGCAGAGGAAGCAGGGCCTGGCCTCCGTCCGCCCGCCTTCCCCGCGCTCCGCGGGCTCATGCCCAACGCGAGCGTCTCACAACAGCCTCGTTTCTAAAACGCCTAACGTTTCTTAAAGTCTTCTGAAACGGGTTTCCCTCTCCGGAATTTGTGAAAAGACTACTCTTCTCAGTTTATCCTGAACAAGCAGCTTTCCATCTCTGGGCTGGGACAGCCGTGGGGCAGGGGCGCCGGCCGGGCTCCAGGCTCCGGCAGAGGGCAGCTGGGCTGCGCCCCGCACCGGGGGTGGGCCAGCCCAGCCCCCGCCCTGGGAAGGCAGCAGCCCCCACGCTCCCCATGCCGCGGGCGCCCAAGCACAGGGAGCCGTGCTCGGCCACGGCCCCGGGCCCTCACCTGCTCCGCCGCACGCGCTCCAGGGCGGGAGCCTGTAAGGCGTGGTGGAGGCGTGGAACACGCGGACGTCGTGGGGCGCCAGGAACTCCACGAACCTGGCGCCATAGAAGACATCCCTTTTACAGTGAAACACGGAGGCAACTTGGTCAGAGATGTACAGGATTTTCCCAGTGACCAGGGACACGGCGGCTGCAAACATACCCTGGAAGGAAGCAGCAGCTGCGTGAGGACAGCCTGCCCCTCCCCGAGGGGCACAGATTTTGGGGGAGGCCTCTGGGCCCCCTCCTCGGGCCCCCTCCTCCAGCCCCCGCCCCTCACCCGGGCCAGCAGCCACAAACCTCTCTCCCAGGGTGTGCGGGGCGGGGATGGGGGCGGGAGGGGGCTGCCGCCCGGGTCCTGCCCTGCTGGCTAGTGGCCTGAGCCCTGGCCCAGAGCTCCCAGGGGGTTGAGCTGCAGCGGGGGGTGCTGGAGGAAGGAGATGGGAGGGATCAGGGAGCCCCACTCTCCAGACCAGTTTTGCCACGATTCCAGTAGGTCTGGGTCCCCACCTGCCCTGTGCTCTCTGAGAAGTAGGAGCACAGGGGAAGGGACAACTCGCTTCCCTTTCCCTAGAACTCCAAGGGTGCTCCACCCTTATGGGGTACTTAAAAATGCACAAGCTTTGGAGTCTTCATGAGTTGAGTTCAAATCCCAGCCCCCCCCCCCAAAGTGAGCCTAAGGTCCCCTGGTCACTGCTCGGTCAAGGTGGGGCTCGCTCCTACACATGCAAAGTTTGGGGGTGGATCGGCCATGAGAGAAGGAAGTCTCATGGAAAACAGCAGAAGTCTGCAACCCAACTGCCCCATGTGAATCACAGACTTTACGCTGTTGTTTTAAGGTAGGAGCTTATTTCCGGAAATTCCAAACTCTGTTGCTATAAAGCCACTGGCTGAAGGTGAGCTTTCTGGGGGAAGATGTCACTCATGTCAGACACTCACTGCGTTCTTCACAATGAACTCGGACGTGACACTCTCAATCTCTTCTACGGTGTAGGAGGGCACATTGGCTCTGCAGGGGTGGTTCTCACTGGACATGAGCAGCTGGTAATACTCCTCGTTGGCTGCAGGAGAGACCACGGCAGCGCATGAAGATGGCCCCGCCCCCTGTGCTGGGGGCTCTACTCTTCTCATGAGAAAGGGGGCTACCCTCCTGCGACGCCCAGAGAACGGAACAGAGAAATGTGAAGGCAAAGCAAACAGAAGTCTGTTTTAGTTTTCCTGAAAAATCCGAAGACCTTTGATTACAGAACTTTTTTAAATGGTAAGTGCACATTATTTTAAATAACATGGGCACACAGTCCCACCTAACCCTCACTTTGCCCACAAGATCTTTAATCACGACACAACGCTGACGTTCCCTCTTGGGAAACCTGCTCCTCGGCGGTGTGGCAGACACTCCCATCCAGACAGAATCCCCTGCTCAAAAACACAAGGCGCGAGAAAGCACACTGCAGCAGACTGCTCCCAACAGAGCCTGCAACCAGTGCCCCTCGTCCCTGGACGTATAGCTCTTGAGGGCACACTGTCATGGGGCTGCCCACCCAGCACCTAAGGCAGTCCCCAGGGAGGGGTGCTGGCAGACCCGTCCCTCAGAGGACCTCCTCCCCCTGCAGTTTGTGAGCATCCTTGGGTGGGCTGGCCGGGCACGGTGTCTGTTTTTACCGTATTAACCCTCACCAAACAGATACAGCCTTAGACAAGAGCCTGCAGAGAAACTTGGGGCTGCAGAGGGCACCCAGAAGGCCAGCGCACGCCAGCACACAGCAGAGCCCAGCCCTCCATGCTTGGCACAAGCTCTCCCCACCAGACTACACCAGGCAGGCAAAGTCGCCCTTCTGACAAACGTTGCCCAAACATTAGAAGATACGAAGACTATTTGAAATATGGCTTCGTATCCATCGTTATCAGTGAGAAGCCCTGCCCTGCTGGTAAGCTTGAGAGTAACTGATGATCACAGAATAAAGCCCACTGTTTGACCTTTATCTCAGCCTTCACAACCTTCCTGCTTTTACCCATGTTTCCAATGTGTGGAGTCCACTGGGACCTCAGCGTGCGTGTAACGCATACACCCAGGTAAAGTAGGTAGAGCAGGGGTGGGGTTCCCACACCTGCTGGGAAAGGACACCTCCCTCGTCTGTCTTAACGAGATGCTGGCCTGGCTTCTGTCTCTGCTTGCTGGTCAGAAGGGACCAAAACAGCTAAGAAATTCCTCAAAGTGCAGGAGGGGGTGGACTCATTACACTCCTTCCCGTGTAATGAGAAAGGATTCACCTGAGTGTTTGCTGCTGTAAGATCAGGAATGCACATGTGGATACTCCCTCCAAGCTTCCTGCTGCTTTCTCTGACACACTGGAGGAAACTTAAAAACTCTCAAAGCTCACATCCCCATTCCCAGCAACAGACCGAAAGGCAAGGCTGCACGGAACTTTCTGACTGCCTAGAGCTAAAACATCCTGAGATGACCCCAAATGCAGGGGTCACGGCCCAAGCCCCCAGGGATGGGTGTCTGCCGAAGAATTCACCCAGGAGTCAAGTTCTTGGTTCACTAGAAATGCTGGTACCACCTCCACGGCAGTGTGTTCCTACCTGTCCTAGAGTCAGAGGCACCTGCAGTTACCTGAAACCCAGGAGATAGGGAGGGGGGGCACAGAGCACCTGCTCAGTGGGGGTCCAGCTGCAGCAGCAAGTGAAGGAAGACTCGGTGCTGTTGGAAATTATTTAAGGGGCTTGGAGTATATTGAAATGTCAAGCATCTGAGCTTGATGATGCAAATACGTTGGAAACTGCAGTGTTTGTTCATAGATTTCTGCACTGCATCTAGGAAGACTTCTGCACACGTGTTCTCAGGTGAAAGCCTTAGTCTAGACCATGGACAGTCCTAAAAGGTCTTACATATTCTGTCACCTAATAATAAGGTCCAAGCATGCCCACAAACGGGAACGGAATGTGGCTCGTGGAGGTCTTGCTACTGTGCACCAGTGATGGAAGAAGGCGCTCTGCATGGCTTCCTGATTGGAAGAAAACCTCGATGGAAATTCACGCCTTTCTAGACAAACAAGAAACAGACTGCCCAAGGTCTTAAATGTAGGAGCGCGAAAGTATTGTCCTGTAAGGAAGGATAAGATCTGGCAACAGCCTCCTTGGTATCTCCTCTTGTTATTTTTCAAAGGAGCGACCAGCCGTCAGCTCAACACTGTGGGATGTTTTGCTTAAATTCCGTGCTGAGCTGCTCACACATTTCAGTGAACTCCAGCTCAACTCCGGCCTGAGCCTGGAGGATGCTGGGCTCTCCTGACCATGACCTGACCCCAGCCCAGAGCACAAAACCTTTACGCCATAAATACATTCCTTTTTATCAGCTGGTTTTCTACCTGTTTTTTTTTTTTTTTCTCTCCGGAAGTCAAGTACAGTAGAAAAGCTGTAAAGAATTAAGCCTTCTAGAATTTTCTTCTGCAATTTCTGGGTTGGGTTTTAGAAAGTTGACATAATCCAAGTTATTTCTACAAGTTCGGAACAAATACATAGGCTGACGTACCTTTCACCTGCTTCACACTCCTTAGCGCGTACTTCAAGGTGGCCAGCATGCTGGCTTTCCCCTTGGCCCTCTTGTCTACTGGCAGGTGGACCTTCAGCTCCTTCAGTGTTTTTATCAGCTCCTTGTGCGCATCTGCTTTGGTGGACCACTCACTGTCAGAGCATTAAAGAAAGAGGCGATCACACGTTAGCTTCCTGACTCTGCCTTCCTGCGCCTCTAGTCCTGCTTCTCAACCAGGCCACTAGGATGTCTCGGTCTGTGTGGTTCTCTGTGGAGCACTGCGGGACGTGTAGCATCCTTGGCCTTCTCCCCACCAGAGGCCAGAAGCACCCTCGCCAAGTGTGGCAACCAAAGATGTCTCCCGATGCTGCTACACATCTCCTGTGGGAGACGGAACGCTCCAGCTGAGAACCACTGCGCTCGCCCAGCTGAGGGCTCCCCTGGGCTCTCTGCACCCCCAGGCTGGAGCTGGGCTTTGCCCCTTAGGGCTGTGCCTTCCTGCCCTGTGTCAGACAGAAAAGGATCGAGTGATGGAAATGACAGAGGACAACAAACTGGTTTCCTGTGGCAGGAACAGGAGTGAGGAACACAGCAGGACCTCAGACAGGAAAGCCTTGTAAGAAGGACCTCTCCACTTAGGGGTACAGAGACGGGAAGGAGACAAAACAGGTGGGCCCTTCCTGTTCAGAGCAGAGGGTGCAGAAAGAATGCTAGAAATCAGGTGTCCGGATGAGATGGCCAGGTGCCCACGCACCCAGGCCTCAGAGCAGGCGTTTGCTCCTGTAGTGATACGAAAATGTCTGTGGGGGGCGCCTGCGTGCCTCAGTCAGTTAAGCATCTGCTTTGGCTCAGGTCATGATCCCGGGGTCCTGGGATCGAGCCCCGAGTCAGGCTCCCTGGGAGCCTGCTTCTCCCTCTGCCTCTGGCCCGCCCCCTGCTCATGCTCTCTCTCTCCCTCTCAAATAAATAAAATCTTTTAAAAAAAGAGAGAGAGAGAAAATGTCTGTGGATGTGAAATTAAGGATACCTTTGTTACCAACACCTAAAAAGGGGGAGGAATGTTCCAGATGAACATGTCTAGGATGCAGACAAGGCCTGTGCAGACGGGGCTGGAGGGGCTCCAGATCCCGGCATCATAAGGGGCCCTGAACAGCTGGTGTCTGAGAGGGCACAGCCGGCTCACAAGACAGCTGCACAGACCAACAGGTTCTAGCGGAGGCTTGCAAAACGTCACATTACCCCGAAACTAACCTCTAGTAACAAATCTCCATTTCTCTGAGGCCGTAAATCAAGGGACATGTGACTGGCCTTACCTGCAGCCGCTTGCAGACGTGCTGTGTTTGGACTTGGCCATCATGAGGCCAAAGGCATCGGGACTGGGAGCACGAGAAATAAAGGCCAGACTCAGAGGACTGCATGCTGCAACCATCCCCTCATCCAACCAGGGACAACAATCCAGATTATCCCACACGTAGTAAGACAATTACGAAAAATACAAGGTTAAGAGAAAGCCGGAGCATAAAACTTTCAAGTTTTAGGTACCGGGAGAAGGACTGACAGAGGAGGTTCATTTTCTATAGACCCCAGCTGCTAGTGGGGCCACAGGCTTGTCTGCTCCCGAGATCTTGCTATACTCACTCCGTATCTATCTATCGGCAACCAGAGAGTCAACAACAACAGCAGCATCATTATAGTAAATTTTAATTCTCCGTTAATGAGATTTTTTTTAAGTGTTGAAAAACATGGGAATCATGATTTAAAGACCCCAAAAGCTATCAAACAACAGGATGAGATGCTGAGAAAACAGACAAGCGGCCGGCCTCAGTGGTCCGAGGGCCCCACCTACCCCGGGGGGACGATGGGTGGCCCCACCAGCATCCCCAGCTGCTCGCCGCCCCGCGAGTCCAGCCCCGGGGAGCGGTTCTCATTGGTTTCACTTCTGCTAGAGCCGCTGCTCATGTGCACATCTTCCTGGAGTGGGGCTCCACGGGGCTCCTCGGGCTCCTGGGCGGGGTGACCGCGGCTGGGCGGGTACTTGGCGTATCTGTTCATGTTGGCTCCACAACGAAGCTGGGAAAGAGAGAAATGTCGTCAGGCCTTGGCGAGTGCAGGGGGTCCCACAGCCACCGCATGGAATGTGTGCTGGAATCCGTTTCCACGTCAGGGTCTGTACCAGTCAGGGTCAATCGTGGTATTCTTTGTTCTTCCTCATGAGCTCTTAGCTGCCATGAATTAGGAAGGCAGATGAATCCCGTGGCCACAGCCCCCAGGCATCAAACTGCTGATGGCCTAGTCGGAGGTGACAAGAGCATCAGTGAGCACCTCCCAGCACGTGGGGAGCCTTGGGGAAAACGCAGATTCCCAATGAATGGCTGGCGGGGCCTAGGAACCTGCATTTTACAAATCTCCCCAGGTGATGGGGAGGTCTTCTCCCCAAGAAGTCTGGGCCATCACGAGCTGCAGGAGACCCCAAGTGCAGGCTGTATGCAGGGGGAACCCCAAGACCAGGCTGTGGGCAGGGGAGACTTCAGGGAGAGAGGAGGCTGTGAAGCAGGCATTGCCCTATGAAGAGGGCCAAGTGGGTGGGAGCCCTGACAGCAGCACGGGAGGGGGGCTGTGCTAGTGGGGAGCGGGGGGTGGGGGCAGCACCAGGCCAGTACCAGATGAATGAACTTGGTTGCATTTGGACAGGTCCTCACCACTGTGCTATGTAGAAACTTTAACTTTGGCGTTTAGGGGCAAGAGGGTGGAGAGGGGCTGAAGTCAGTTATTACCCTGGTCCTGGAGGGCAGGAAGAAGGGTTACTGAACCCAAATGAACCCAGACAACCTGCAATTTGGGGGAACAGAGCTGGGGGGGCGTAAACCCTTGGCTTCTCTCTCCTCCTGACCTCAGTGGTCAGGAAGCCAGAAAGCAAGGGGACCCACTGGCTCAGTTCCAGAAGGCCAGCCTTGGGCACTGAGCAGGGGACGGAAGATCGGAGGGCCCAGCAGCAGTGCCCTGACTGAGCTGAGTCTCCAGGGGCAGAATGTGTGCCACAGCTTCCATGTGCTCTGAGAAACAGACCAGACGCCTGGTTGACAGTGACAAACACACACACTCACTGTTCCACGTAACCCTTGTGATCACTGACCACTGGATACGACATAGCATACCGTTGTCTGTTCTAGCCTGTGGATGAGGAAACAGGTCAGTGGCCACACAAGGCAGGTGACAGCCCTGGATCCCGCGCCCCTGCCTACTCCTGAAGATGGGGACCCCTGGAGAATCCAACCACACTACTCTCTGGAAAACAACAGGTCTCAGTAGACCTTGTCTTGTTCATGAGCCAACAAACGGGAAAAAGCTAACATGAGTCCCCTGAAAAGATGTGCAGCAAAGACCAGAGGGATGCGCCTGCATGGCATGGGGGACCAGCAGACTTAGGACAGCACTTACTCTTGTAGCACAAATAAAAATCGAGAAATGGTGGATTCCAGGAAATAAGTAATGAAGGATGAGCAGAAGCCACTGAGTGAGATGAAAATGCCACCTTCGAGCAGAGAATCAGAAAGACCAAGTCCAGAGTTGGAAACGAAGATGGCCTCAGAAATGCAGAGCAGGAGTGCAAGGAACTTTGAAAAGCACCAAGGGAAAGAGCAACAACATCAGAGCTGTGTTTCTACCCACGGGTAATAGCTCTCCCTGGAAGAGACACCACAACAGTCAAACAGAGACTCTCATGAAAGATACACACCAAGAAGACCATCCCGGCCGAAGACAGATTTGCAACCGCCAGTCGAAGGACTCCTTGAACACCACGCAAAGGTACGTGAAAATCCAAGCCTAGAGATGTCCCGATGTAAAATGACATTTTCAAGGGGAAAAAAAAACTCTACCCACATCCAAACAGGAAAAACAAACAGGTTACCTACAAAGGATGGGAAGTCACTGAGTCCTGAGCAGAAGATACAGTCCACAGAGTTGATACGCAGAAGATAGTCTCCACAGCTGTCACCTGCTCATCATGGCTTTAGACAGCAGCAGGTTACCAGGGTCCTGACTCACAGAGAACCCAAAGCCCCAGGACAGCAAAATACCTGACCAAAGTTGGGAACAAAACAAGAAAGTCTACTCCCCAGTCTTCGTTTTGTTGGATTGCTTGTTTGTTTTTTTAACATTTCAGGGATGTTCTGACTCAGTGAGAGCACGGAAAGTGCTCACTTTTGGAAAGAAAGAGACCAAAGACTAACAATGGGCTGTTCCCACAAAGGAAAACACCAAAGATCCATAAACCTGGAGAGGTGCTCAACCTCATTACTCATGAGTAAAACGCAAAGAATGAGGTCACCAAAAATTACCAGGACTGATGGCATCCAGTGTCCACAAGGTGGGGAACTTTGTGTGTTGTAGTCACTAACGGTCTTTCTGGACGGGACTCTGGGCATGTCCAGGACCATTTATAATCTTCACCCTTCCCCCTGCTAGGAGGCCCCTTCACTCCCCAGGAATGCCTGTACGTGCGCACAAAGACCCATGAGCATGGTGTATGGAGTGATAGAACTGCCAGAGGACCATCTGCAGGGAGGCTACTGGCATCCCATCTCAGGCACCCTATCCACCATGGACACCCTGGCCAATGCCAGCCTCGACTTCCAAACGGGGGCTGTGCCTCACCTGGCCCCACCCCAGTCCTCTGCTCCCCCTGGCTCAGAACACAGCCCCGGTCTGTACGAGGGTCTGCAGCTCTACAAGGCCTCCCTGGCTGCCTCCTAAGAATCTCCTGCTGTGGCCTGCCTCCTCGGCCCTGACACTGAGCTCCAACCCCAGGGACTTTGCACTTGCTGCTCCCTGGTGCCCACGGGACTCATCCCGCAGACAGCTTGTCCATCCTGCACAAACAGCACTGACTTCTCCCCTACCTGCCCCCACACCCCCTGCCGGGCTTCCCGTCCTCCATAGTGCTGACCGCTGGACTCCACCCTGATGGGCTGGAGCTTCAGCTGTCCTCTGCTGCATCCCCAGAGCCCAGCACTTGTGGTTAACGACATAAAGCCTGGGACATCTGTGCTAGGGGATACTAAGTACCTACTAAAGACAGGGAGACAAGACACATTGATAGAGGGAGATTCTAGGACACAAACGAACAAGTTACGGAATAATAAAGAACAACCACCGTGGGACAGACAGCACATAGGCAGGGCTGGACACTGTCTTCCGTGGATTAGCTCACTCCCTCAGCACATGGCGCTTCGGGCTGGTGGACGTCAGAGAACGGGAAGGACATCCTTCCTGCCCTCCTGAGCTTACGTTCCAGGGGGGAGAACAGATCGTCCACAAGGGAATGGCACAGACAGTAGAAGAATGCTAAGCGCTACGGAGAAAGCAACAGAGCAGGGGATGAGGAGGTGTTGCGCGGGAGGGGCTGATAGTGCCGCCAGAGAAGGCGAGGGTACCGGCAACATCTGACCTTGTGCCTGAGCCCCCGCGTGTGGTGCTGATTCACAGCCCCTGGACCTTATTCTCTCGCAGGCCTGCAGCCACGGCTGGGTATCCACTCCCCTGCTCCTCACGGCTTCACGCCCGGGGCAGCCCGGAGGCTCTGGCCGTGCTGGCCACGCATGGCCTTAGATGAAGCCCCACACGATGGGGGTGGGCCCTTGCCTCCCCGGCTGCTGCCAAAGGGCCCAGTGAAGCAACTGGCCCGGAGGGGGAACACGCTCTCCCGGGGTGAACGCTGGCCGTGGGGGATGGGAGAGGGGACAGGTCAGCAGGTAAACCCACTCCTCCGTCCCTCCCTTGGATGGAGGTCGAAAGCTCTTTGTACCCTTCCTTCTTTGTTGTCGTCCTTTCCGATGAGGCCCCCATGGACTGAGAGGCCAGCCTGCATCCCCGCCTTCTCTACTTGCCTATTCCCTCACTCTTGCTGCCTGAGACTGCACCTCCCAGTGAAATTCTAGCCTTAAGTGTCAGCCCAGACTCTGCTTTTAAGAGAACCCAAGTGAAGACAGACTGAAGAGAACGAGAGTGGGCCAGGAAGGTGCTGGACAAAGAATATTCTAGGCCGGGGTGGGGGCAAGAACAAAGGTCCTGAGGCAGGGGCATTTGAGGAAGATGGAGCAGTCTGGAGCAGAGTGGGCAAGGCAGAGGAGGGTGATATGGGGCACCCCACGGGGCAGAGCCAGGGCTCTGGCTTTATTCTGAGTGAGATGGGAAACTGAGTTCTGTGCAACAAGATCTGACTTAAACTCTAACAGGGTTATGGGGTGGAGACAAGGTGGAAGCAAGGAGACCTCTTAGGGGTCTCCAGTTCAGTAGAGTTGCCAAGGGGCTGCCCCAAGGGGGTGAGGGCATTCTCTCCCTCCCCAGTACCCTGCACACCATCCATCTCATCCCACAGCCCTCCCCAGACAAGCAGCCTCTGTGAGTGAGATGTGAAGGCTGAGGGGTTACGTGAGCCGCCCTGGATGGTAAGGGCATCAGCGGGTTCCACTGCTTCCTGGCCCTGTGATCTCAGGCAAGTCCCTGAGCCCCCTGTGCCTTGTTTCCTCCTCTGTAGCCAGGTGGCAGCACCCCTGCCTCTCGGGGGTTGCTGGGAGAGTTCAGTGACACAATCTGTGCCAAGTGTCTGGAATGCAGTTGTGGCCAACAAAGGCTTAGCTTTTATCATCACTGCCAATCACTACAGGAAAACAGATGGGGTAACAAAATAATTTTTTTAAAGAAGATATTTCACTGCCACCAGAGCTGTCTCTGGCCTGTATTTAAAGGACAAGGAGCTCAGCTAGCCACCCCCAACTCAGGCAATAAAGACATTTCCTGGGAGGAGGCATCGCACACTTTGCTTCCATGCACGCCCCAGGGGCTTGTCTCTCAGCTCCTCAGAGGACTCCCGGCTTTGCCACCTCCCGGACCCTGGGAGCAAGTCTGAGTAGGAGTCATTGAATAGAAGTCACAAGATTACCTGAGGCAGAAGATAAATCTTTGCAAAGAGGGCCAGACAAGCATGGCAGAAATGTGAAACAACAAACCAACCAAACCACCTGAAACTTCATCATTCCAGAAACTGCATC